CTTTGGGTAACCGTGTGCTCCTGTGCTTCACAGTTAAAGTTTATTGGGGAAGAGCCACACCTTCATTTCAAACTACCAAGGGCATAAGAATAAGGTTTGAAACATGATTTGTGTTGACCCTTAAACGAATGCCTGACTCCTGGCTTTAACTGGCCCCTTAAGGGTCACTGTGGTTCTGCCTTCCCCTGGAGGTCAGCACAACAACACGGTCCTTCCGGGTGGCAGCAGGAAGCCTCGCGGGGTCGCGGGCTGTGCTGCTCTGACCCCGTGGCCTTGCAGCCTCCCTTGTCGGCATTGATGGGGCTTCCATATAGGAATGAATTTAATCCAGGTGCAAAATTTATTCTGCAAAATTTTAAATTTTTTTCAAAACATGGTTTACTCAAATAAAAATGTACCTGGGCTCTGCTCTCATCTTCCCTTTAGCTTGATGTGTGTAACAGCTTGTGCAGGTTTCAGAAAATAATGACTTTGTTTTCTGTAAAATAACTAGTGCATAAATAAAGCAGGTGTCAGTTGGTGAGTCATAAGTAGTTCTCTCATTCCCTGGGATGTGGCACTTTGGGTCTTGGGGTAACGAAGCAGTTGTAACATCAGTCCAGTAGGATCTGTTTTGACAGGAAGAGCAAGTGGTAAATAGAACTAAGATCACTGTTTCTGGAGCCAGCCTCGGGACCCTCGGCACGGCAGTGGCGTTCCTCGGGTTAGCAGTGTAGTGCCACTGTCCTCTTCTTGCCTCTCCCAGTCTGCTTTCTGAAACAGCCTGGGAGTTCTGCACAAGTCCAGTTTACTGTAAGAGGATTTACAACTCCAGAAATTGGGGAACTTTTACCTTATATGAAGAGTTTTGAGGAGCACTGCCTTAAATGGCATTTGGTAACCTTGGATGCCCTCCTAAGCATCAGTATTAACTACTTTAAGAATCATTTGAGTAAAATAAAAGAAAAATTTATAAAATAAAATAAGCTGAGGAAAATAAGAATCATTTGGGGCCTTAAAAAACTGCTAATTAGAACAAAACTCTTGGGTCTGGGGCCTTCAGTCAAATATGTAGTTCATTCTTGCTGCAGCACCTGAGGCGGGTGCACTTCTGTCGGAATGGGTGCCTCTGGGGGTTGGATTGACCCTTTTCTGTCTCCTTGTAGCTGTGGGCAGGAGGGCACATGTGCAGGCAGCTGCAGCATCAGCAAAAGGGACAGGAATCAGTTGGGCCCCATGGCCAGACTGAGTTCTCCATTTTACCCTTCTTAGGTAATGAAGCCACAGCAAGATGGGGACTGTCATCTCCCTTCCCCTGGAGCCAGGTTCAGGCACTTTTGTAAAGCCGTCTTGCATCTTCAGGCTCTTCTGTGTTTGCTACTTCTTTGCTAGAAGCCTGTTTGGTTTTCATATCTCTTTAAAAGGAAAACAGCTTAAGACTTGTCTTCATATTTGCTTCAGCTTTGACTCACTCTGCACCCATAATCTGTGCAGATGATTTGCCTAAACTCCCACTCCTCTAAGAGCACCACCCTCCCCAGGGACTTCATGGACATCCTTGTGGATAAATCAGGTGATTCTTTTACAGTCCTTTTCCTCCTGCTCAGACTCTCTTGATAACAGTTCTGTCTCTCTAAATCTATTGGTGTTTTTTATTAGTTTCACTGCCTCCTCTGTGTTCCCAAAATGTGGGTGTCTTGGAGGCCTGGGTCAGATTTTGACTACTGTCTAGTAGTTATGTAACACGAGGTGAGTTACAGCTCTGTGCCTCAGTTTGCTTGCTCATTTATAACAAAAGAGAGGAAATAATAGGTTCAGTGAGGTTGTGTGAGGATGCCTGGCATTTAGTAAATACTCAGGAAGTCTTATCTGTTGTCATTATCATGATCATTTGTATTACATGTGCAGCCATGGCTTCGGGACAAGACCTGGCAAGGCTGTCCAGTGTCCTTTTGCATGGCTCCCAGAGGTGAGAGAGAGGCTTGGGGAGCCAGTTTGCATTAATTTACACTGCTACATAGAGGGTCCAAGACCTCTTGAGTCCCTTCAGCCACCATTATTCCTACCTCAGGGTTGTGTCCAACCCATTGAAGAGATCTGTTTCTGCTCAGAAAGTCAGGATAAGAGTTAGTGCCTTATTTTAAAAACTAGCAGGGAAAAAATTATTCAGGCCCTTACTGGTTACCCAAAGACAAGAGTCAACCCATGCACATGGTGGCAGCCTGTTCTCTCTCTGCTCAGTCACACTCAGCTAAACGACCCTGTTGCAGAACACAGAAACTGAGGGCCCAGGGCTCTTACTGGTCTCATAGTGCACTGGTCACATAGTATAATATAAACTCATAAAATCAGGGAAGGGCTTGCCCACACCTTAATCCTGTGGCTGCTCACATGAACTTACATGGTTTAGAATGCTGGGAAGAGGGAATTCTGGGTCAGTTGAGCACCCTCTGGCTTCAGCCTTACGCCTTTTCCCTGGATTGTGTGTACTTGTAAATTTTCAGGAGTTTTATATTTTGTGCTTTAAATTTTTCTTATGAGATTTTACTTGTTGTATTCCCTGGGAAGACCAAACTTCAGTTAATTAAACCATTCTTTTGGGCCTGCGAAGGAGTCAGGAGCACTGCGAGTGGTTGGCGTTGTCCTTTTGACAGGGAGTGGAGGAAGGGCTGTGCTTAGCCTGCTGAAGGCCTGGTGCTGGGTTTATTCCAGTCCAGCCTTCTTCGAAGGCCTGTGGTTCCATGGCACTCGGTGTCACTCTGTGTCACTCATTAAAGTTATTACCCCAAGCGTTTGCAAGGAAGTGCTCTTATTCAGAGATTTTGCTTTTTAACAAATGAGTAGTTAAATGAGAGCTAATGTTGCTTTCTGGACACTGTTAATGGAAAGAAATAGGTAAATTTAAAGAGTCTGCTATGTAAGTGTGCATAGCACTTAGATCAGTGATGGAGTACAGATGATTTGGAGAGCTGGGTGAGGTCTGAGGGAAGTTCTAGTCATAAGGATTCGCCGTGGAGAGAACTAATTACATTGGTAGGTAGAGCCTGTTAATGACAGAGCCTAGGGTGCGCTGTCTCCTGGATTCCTAGATTCTTCCTTGACATTGCTGCCTATCCTACGATTTTTATTTTTAATCCCATATTTAATCACCTAATATAAGTCCCCCTTTGGCAGAAATGAGAAACAGCATCTGAAGTGGCCTTGCGACCACAGTTGCAAGCCCCCCATCGCTATGTCCTCTCCTTTTTTCTACATAAGCTGACTTATGTAGAAAAACCATTTCTACAATGGTTAAATATGACTTAACTGAAAAAAATATGCCTGGCTTTGTCTCTACCTTCATGCCCTCGCTTGTGCTGTTCTCCTAGCCCAGAGTGACCCTTTCCCCAAATTCCACCCCAGTCTAACCCAGGGTTCGTTATTTTCAGGGGGCTCTGTGTGCGTCTGTGTGTCCGTATGCATGCAGAGCCAAGGCCAGTGCCTGACCCACAGTAGGTAATTACCTCCCTAGTCAGAAACCGTCTTTCCTGTGGCTCTCCTAATCTGCTTAATACCCAGTCTGTACTACCCAAGTTACACTTGTTGGTACTGCCCTGTGATTTCGTCTGTGCGTAGATATATTTATCTCCTCAACTAGATAATACGTTAACATCTGGGCGAAAGAAACCATGACTAATAACACTTTGTTTCCCCACAGTGTCTGCTCAGTACCTTGCACATAATTTGCACCATATAAAAATGGTTAAATATGAACAGTATCCTTTTGAGGAAGTTGCCTTAAGGGTCCTGTAAGAGGAAAGCCTAAAAATTCTTGTGCCTGTAAGAACTGGTGAATAACCCAGGCCTTGCAAACCCAGCCCAGCCTGAGGTCTATAAATTGAGATTGTCAATATTTAAGTTTTGCTAGCATGAGTACAGATGTTTTCTTTGCCCCTTTCCCTCTGCTGTGTGCTGGTTATTTGGAACCCATTGGGTTCCAGAATTGCTCAGTTCTGACTGCCCTACCCTGAGTAAGAAGTTTTGCTACTTCTCGGGACCCTGGGTAGCATGGATGCTACACTTGAACTACTAGACTACTTTGCCGTGAGCTTCATTTCTCTTGGCTTTGTACCATTCAACCAGTTCAGCTGGTTGGCTGCCTGGCCGTGAGTAACTGGCCATACTCGCGCCTAGAGGGAATCATCCAGGCAAGTGCGCACCTCCATCAGGGGCAGAGTGACCAGACATCTGTTTCATTGGCTTATTAACTTACTCTTCTGACAGGGCAGTGCTTAGGCTAACCATGGCCATAGTAGTGTAGGTGTGTGGCTGCTTCCTGAAGTGGCCCAATCTCATGCCCTTCCTGTGTTGACATCAAACTCTGACATGATAGTACTTTCTACCAGGAAGCCTGAAAAAGTGACACAGCAGCATGGCTTAGTTGGAAATAGTTCACAGTAGGCTGGGGGTTAGGCTGAAATCCAGGACCTTGATGAGAAACTTTGTACCCACCCCCATTCTGAGCCTGCTCTCACTGAGAGCTTGCTCTTACCTGCCTGGAGCAGCTGCCTGTAGTCAGGCCCTAGCAGAGAGTGAGTGGCACAAGCTCTCAGTTAAGTAGTATTTTCATGTTTTCAGACATAGCCAGGCTGAAGACTTGAAAGCAACGTAAAGAACCAAAGGGGATGGGAGGAGTGAAGTACAAGTTCAGGAGTCAGACGGACCTGAGTTTAAATCCAGGCTCTACCACTGTCTAGCTGGTGATTTTGAATAAACCAGTAAACTTCTCTGAGCCTCGGGTTCCCATGGAGCTACCTCTGAGTGCTGGTGAGGTAAGCTGTTTAAAGCACTTGGCACCTTGACAGGCACAAAGAAGGCTCTCAGCTGCGATAACTTTGTTTCCTCAGCCTTGTCGCCCCCCCCCCCCGACCCTCACCCTCCTGCTTCCCTTCCTCCATTCTGCTGTTGCAGAAAGACAGTTTCCTCATTGCTTGGACTAGGTCTTTATTATGTCCCCTTTGATTTCTCTCATATTGCAACAGGCATCTCGGGCCCAAATCCTAGACAAAGCCACAGAGTATATCCAGTATATGCGAAGGAAAAACCACACACACCAGCAAGATATTGATGACCTCAAGCGGCAGAATGCTCTTCTGGAGCAGCAAGGTAAGCACCTGAGCTGGTGGGGCAGCTGGCCCTGCGGTGCTCTGGCCAGGCCAGGGCTTTGCACCTGGGCCTGCAGAACCAGAAGCAGTTATCGAGTGTGTGCCTGTAAGCAGCCATGGCCCTGCTTCTGAGTAGTTGAGCGTTAGAGTCATCCTGAGGAAGGGTCTCAGCCGCCAGTGAGGGGACAGTGAGTCTAGGGGTTGGACCTCTGGAGACTCTCTTCTGACCTGATCTCTCTCTCCTCTTGGGGCTCAGGTGCCCTGCCTGTAGTAGCAGTCACACCTGGCAGCAGGTGTCTCAAAAGAGCTAAGGTCCTTGGATTGGAGTGTGCTTTGTAAGCACCAGGAACTCCAGGTGTTCAGGGACAGTGAGCTCTCCCCAGTGCCAATGGTAGTCCACTCAGGGCAGCCTATGGGCCAGGCCCATGCTGTTCTCCAATGCTCACATCCGCCTTTTCCTACAACCACAGGGGAAAGCGAGAGCTGATCAAGTTCTTTGTTCCTGGGGAATTCACTTCTCTTCCTCCCTCATGGAAGATGCAAGTAAAAAGAAATGCAAGTAACCACTTGGGTTAGAACACCTGAAATAAAATTAAATTAAAATAAAATAAAAGGGTTGACCTTGCAGGCTCGAGATGAGCTGAACTGAGGGATGGGCAGAGGGAGGTGGCAGCGGGTTGGTGACCAGGCGGAGCAGCCTGCATGTAGGGGCTGTATGCCGAAAGGCTCAGGTATTCTGTGTGTATTGGTGACTTGCTTGCAAGTGTCCAGCTTGTCTTTCCAAGTGGATCTTGTACATGAGAGCTAAGCCAAAACTTTTCTTTGGATGATACATCTCATGTTATCCTTTCCTGCTGTTGTGTGGCCTTCACACCCTTATGGATCCTGGCATTGCCAGGCCAGCTTCTCCTCTGTCACTGCACTGTTGGGTCCCCCAGGGAGCTCGTGCTCCTATCTCTACATTGGGCTTCCAAGGCAGGATGGTGACATCACAAGCTTTCTCTTTAGGGTTGGGTGGCATAGCACAGTGGCTGGCCATGTCTGTCTAGTGGGCTCCGGGTCTGGCCTGGAAGGGAGGAAGGAAATGAAGTGTGCTGGCCAAACAGCCGCCAGAAGGGAGTTATTTCTGAGCCACCCTGAGCCTCAGCAGCCAGCAACCCCTTCGGAAGAACAGGCTGGACCCTGACCTCAGACTCAGTTACCCCCCAGTCTCCAGAAGGCTGTAACCCGCTCGCTTGGTTGCCTTTCAGTCCGTGCACTGGAGAAGGCAAGGTCGAGTGCCCAGCTGCAGACCAACTACCCCTCCTCAGACAACAGCCTCTACACCAACGCCAAGGGCAGCACCATCTCTGCCTTCGATGGGGGCTCGGACTCCAGCTCAGAGTCGGAGCCCGAAGAGCCCCAAAGCAGGAAGAAACTCCGGATGGAGGCCAGCTAAGCTCCGCAGGGCAGGCCAGCAATAAAAACTGTCTGTCTCCTCCGTCGTCTCATCCTCCTTTCAGTTCATCCTTAGAACCCTCAGAACCATCTAAGAGACTCTTATTTTTTTTTCTTTTCTCTTTTTTTAATTTTATTTTTACATAGAAGCTCTTGGACAACAGCTCTCGTTCTCCTTCCCCATTTCCACTATTTTTTTTTAATGTTTCCCTTCAGGGATTCCCTGTCCCCACCAGGAATTTTTAAACCAAAACACCCCAACTTGGCAGCTTTTTCTGTGGAGGACAGACGGCCGGCCGGACCTCTGAGCACACGGTGTCCTGACCACCTACCAGCTCCTCCAGCCCTGCTGGGCACAGGCCCAGAGGACCCCTGCCCCTCCCAGGCCTCTCCTCCCGGGCCACCCTCACCTCTTCGACAGACTTTGTGAATCTGTGGACTGCTCTGCTTTAAGAAGATGACTGGTTTAAGAAGTAATCAGAGTTACCCCCTCTTCTTTTTAAGGATTTTTTTTTCTAAAAAGCTATTTATCGCTCCTGATGAAAGACCAAATCCTTGAAGAAGTTTGTGGTGTGAGAGGAAGTGGGGACAGATCCGCAGCACAGAGTCTTTGGCCTGTTCCCCTCCTGCGTCTCCGCCCGCCTTCGGGAGGCTGTGGGACGCTCGCGTGGTGCGTGTGGGGCTCGTCCTCAGTGAGGTGGTAGCCGCCAGCGGTTGCTAGGGGGTGGGGCAAGGAGCGGGGACCGGGCGGGGTAGAGGTTTTATATGGAGGGCCAGTGATGATGTTTTGATATTTATTTCCTGCTACTGAAATTTGAATCTGAGTGAATTGTCCCTATTTCTGATGATGTCGGTATAGCAAAGCGACAGATTCATAAAGTAATGATCAAATCTTTCTTTCTTTCCGTGTGTATTTCTAAGAAATAGAGCCAACTGATTTTGTATGTAAATACCAAGAGCAATTTACCTGGTACTAAACCCGCACCCCAGTGCGGCCCCTTCCAGCCCTCGCCCCACGCCGTTTCCTGCTGTTCTGGAACCTGTCCCTAGTGTGTGATCCAGCCCTGGTTCTGGCTGCGGTCAGCAGATCCCAGTGAAGGGTTTTGTGTGTTGAGGCCTCATTTCTTTGTCTTTTCCTACGCTGTTCCTGGCATTTGCTGATTTCTAGTGTATACTCTGTAGTCTCAGTCCGTGTTTGATTCCATTCCATGGAAATAAAAAGTATGTTGTACATACTGCTGAAGAATTGTCTTGCAAGTTAAGGCTTCCCCCTTTACTATAAGACTATAAATAAAAACTTATTTTATCCTTCTTGGTGGTGGTGTCTTCTTGCCCTCGCACAGGCCAAGATAGGTAAGAGAAGAGCCCTGTGGAGGGGAGCAGTTCCCTTTTGGTTCTAAAGGCTCCGCTCAGCCTGGGCGGGGCGGGAGGTGGATAAATTGGTGGTGGTGACTTTGCTCATTGGATAGAAGCTTTTAAAGTTCCAGCAGGTTATCCGGGGCAACATTTCTAGATCCAGTGCCTGCTAAATGAATGACCCTTGGGGAATTGGTAGCCCAGAGCTGTGGGTTTGGGTTTCTCCTGGTGATGAATGCCCAGTTCAAAGGCAACTGGTGTTCTCTAGGATCTCTCGGTTTCTAGAGTTCCAGGACAGTTAGAGGAGACGGCGAGCTGGCCAGGGCCGGAAGTAAAGGAGGCTTCGACAGCATCGAGTCAGCTCAGCTCAGGCTAGGGACCAGTACCAGCCTGAACCTGTTTTACCTTGAAGGGGATTTATGGCCATAATACAGCTCAGTTTTGGGGTTTTTCTGGGGGCGGGTTGGGGGGTCTGGTTGACAGGAAATATTGCTGTACCTAGACCAGAGGAGAGAGTAAAGGCAAATCAGCTATTTGCTTTGTCACTCTCTTTAGAATGGTAGTGCTGGGGTCCCTGTCAATAGGATGTCAAATCCATAGTATCTGTTTTTGATTAATGGGAGTTGCCAGGTTTCAACAAGAGACATTTTGTAACATGATCAAACCAACCCCACCCCACCCCCAACCACGGTTGCAGTGAGGGCAATAAGGATGTTGGGGCAGGCGGAGCATAACCCCGTTGATTAAAGGTGTACTCCATTTCAAGACAAAAGAAACAGGAATAAAAAAATGGGGATGAAAAGTTGGGTGATTTTTAAGCCCTCAAAGTTAGCTAGCTTTCTGCTTCTTTCTCATTGCCCATGACTACCTCTCTTTGTATGTCTGGCCTTAACTGTAAACTCCATATCACACAGTTGGCTTGGTCAGGGTAGGCGTTAGGACCGAGCTGCAGATTCTAAGCCACATTGATGAGATGGAAGGAGTGCAAAGCAGGACACCCAGTAGGCAGAGGGCAAACAAGAAGGGACACTCAAGCCAGTGTGGGGATAGGTGATGTCCCTGAGAGCCAGTATATTGGCTGGACAAGGGGTTCAAGTTTTAGGCTTCTCAAAATTTCTGTACCCAGTTGGAAGAAAAGAGCCACAATGGATAGTTGATTCACCTGGGAAATTGGAAGCACATGACTGACTTGCTGAGCAGATTGGCAGGTGGTGGAAGAAAGGTGGTACCACTGGGAGCAGCTGCCTGGAAAGGGAGGCAAGGTAAGAGACCCAGGCTAGAAGTTGTGCTTTCTAAATGGGACAGATGAAAGTCACAGCCAAGTTCCTTCTGGTATGTGTGTTTAAGGAAGCCAGTGTCTATACCCACCAGGTCACTGAAGTTTGACCGTGGTGTATGCAGCAGTGTTATTCCCTCGTTTGTTCTCTCCATTGTGTTCTGGATAGTGCTGCATAAAAGCCAGAGACCCTGGTGGTTTGCTCGGTTACTAAGGTAGATAGCTTCATTGAGGGTCCTGTTAAAAGCACCTCTTTCTCTTACGTACTGGTGAACTTGATATTTTCCTACCTTTACAATTGCTGTAAGTGAAAAAAAAAACAAAAACACTTTAAATGGCCCAGCTTTTTAAATTCTCGATATGCTCATCTCATATGTAGAGGAGCTACAACTTCAGCAAAGAATGACTTCAGCTCACAGAGCTATCTTACCTGGGAAAGGGTGAAAAAACAAGACTGAGTAGGTGATAGAAGAGAGAGGAGTGTTTTCTGCGTGGCTGCTGAAGCCAGACTGCCTGAGTTCAAAATCCTGGTCGTCAGTCATAGCTGGGAACTCTCAGGTGAGTCACTCCTCTCGCCCTGGTGTCCTCATCTATAAAATGAGTATAATAATAGTGCTGCTCTAACCTGGCGCCCTCCCTCCCGGGAACATTCCCGTGCCTTCTCCCTCCCGCTCTTCCCCTCAGGCGCATTACCTTTACCTTTCTCCTAAGTTCCAAGGGCCCCTTCTTTGGTCTCTGTAACTTGTTTCCTGAGCCATTTCTTCCGCAGCTTACTTGTACCTCTGTGATGCTCTAAATAAACTTTATCTTAGTGTTTTAAAAAATAATATGAATCTCATAAGATGATTTGAGGGTTAAATGAAATACGCTTATAGTGTGCTTGAACTTGGGACCACGTGAGCACTCAGGTAGGTGCCAGCTACCATTATCTGTGCAAAGCTCATGACCAGGGCTGAATCTGCAAGATGGGAAAATCGAGCTGCTGCAGCCTGCTCTGGAGTGTGTGAGAATGGACGTCTTGGGATCTCGCAAATGCTTCCCACTGCTGAGGTGTGTCCTGTCCTAACAAAGCCAAGGGAATAAAGAGACAGCAAGGGAACCCCAGGACTGGGCTGATGCACTCTTAAAAACCAAAGGAACCCCAGTGGCTGCCTTATTCAGATCTGTGTCAGCCCGAGCGAGGTTCTGCCATTCCCTTCTCCTGCCATTCCCTTCTCCCGCCATTCAGCGGCGTCTCTGAACTTGGGACATTTGACATTCTACCCAGGACGCATTGCTCACAAGCCCCCATTGGGTTGCTACTTGAAGCGCGGCCCTCGGCCCAGGCCTGGGTGTTGGCTGGAAGGGTCCCCGGCTCCTGCTCCCCTGACCGAGCGCACGGTGCGGCCCAGCAGCCCAGAGTCAGTTTAATAAGCTCTCCCAGGCAGTTCTCGTGCACTCAGGTCTGACTCCCCCAAATAAAATAGGCCAGGGAACAGAAGATGTTGCGGAAAGTGACACAGCCCTGGTTTCCTGAGGCGTAAAATGACAATAATAGCGCAAAGGTGTGAAGACTTAAGTGTACAAGCCCTTGTGCCTAACAATTCTTAGGTCTGTTTGTCTCCATAGGTCCCAGGCAGTGCAAGCACTTCTGTTTGAGTTTTGTTGAAATGTGGAGTGAATAAACTCCATCCTTCAGTGCATTAAAATCCTTCAAGGGGAAGTAAATGTACGTTGAATACCAAAGGGTGGTAACCAGTAGGCTTTGCTTGATTTCTGAAGGAACTCATGACAGACCTTGAATCTGTTTGGGAAAAAGCTGGATTTGGAAAGTGAAATATACCCTGCTGGCTGGATTGGAACCATTAACCATTATCACACTGCGTACTTTGCACTGTTCTCCATCCTGGGTTCAGTTCATGATTCTGGGGCTCCTGGTGGTCTGCACCATGCTAGGCACAGGAGTAACTGCAAGCCTACCTCGCGCCTGCCCAGCAGTTCCCACTGGGGCCTGGTTGAGACAGGGGTTGAGCCCTGGCTGGTATTGCTCAGTGGGTTGAGCGCCAGCCTGCCAACTGAAAGGTTGCCCATGTGATTCTGTCAGGGCACGTGTGGGCTGCGGGCCAAGCCCTCAGTTGAGGGTGTGCAAGAGGAAAGCAATTGAAGTTTCTCTTTCTCCCCACCTTCCCTTCTAAGAAATAAATAAAATCTTTTTAGAAAAATATAGGGGTCAATGAACCTTGTTACTCAGACTTTCCGGGGTGAGGTGGGGACTGAGTACGCTGTGGGCTCCGTGCTCTAGCTCGCCCTGGCTGATGTGCATGTGCCTTGTGCACATGTGTGCGCACACCCGGTAGGATGGGTGTGTCTAGAGGAGAGCCAAACAGGTGGCCCTGGACAATTCACAACCAGCCAAGCAGGTTCCCTTTCGTGTCCTGTGCTGGTGCCAGCTGCCCCAGCAAGCCCGTCCTGACTGCCGGGCCCCATGTAGGATTGTTTTCCTCGGTGTCCATTGCAGGGGTGGGGCCCTTGTACACCCACAGCCTTCGCTGGGCAGGGTTATTCAGCAGGGTCCCTGCTGTGAATTTTCAATGACAGAAGAATCAAGGATCCAATGTTCAATCTGTGCCTTCCACTCCAGTGCTGAACCTGGTTAAGGTTTGAGTCTCCTGCCAAGAAAAACAGACCCGACGGCCACCATGGCAGGCCTGTTGGGGAAGGCACGCACTCTACCAGCCAGCTCCTGCCGGGGCCCAGTGAGCAGTGCTGAGTCTGGCTCAAGAAATAACCGGTGTGGTTTCACTCCCATGTGGAATCTAAAGAACAGTATAAACAAAACAGACTCGCAGACACCGAGAGCAGACTGATGGTTGACAGAGTGGAGGCAGGGGGAGGGGAAGGGGACGGGACTGAGAGAGAAGGGTGAAGGGACTGAGAAGTACAGATCGGTAGTTACAAAACAGCCATGGGTCTGTGAAGTACAGCATAAGGAATACACTCAGTAATATAAATAAACATGTACGGTGCCAGGTGGGTACTAGAAATATCGGTGGAACACTTTGAAAAGTATATAATTGCTAACCACTATGCCATACACCTGCAACTAATACAAAAGAATATTGAATGTAAAAACGACATACTTTGGATAAAAAGTAACCCAGTGGGTGTGTAGAGCTGCCACTCATACCCCTGGCGACTCATCACCAGCCACAGGAGTCCAGCTGGCCTTGTGGCTCCCACACACATGCCTGAGGGCTTCATTGTGTCATATCTCCCGGTGCCATCAACAGCTTCAAGGTGGCAGGGACAGAACTGGGGCTACAAGACAGCGGCCAATGGCTTTGGGCCAAAAGACCGCAGCAAAGCCAGCCAGCTAAGAGAAGGAATGTCACGTCCACATTACACACCTACTGCAAGGCTAGCGGTGGGCCACCTTCAGGGGAACTCTGGTTCAGACAGCCGGACTGTTTCCCACCCAGGACACGAGCCCAGGGCCCCCTCCTCTGCAGAGTGCTGCCACAAACGCACTGGCAGGCATGCCAGCTGGGAGCTCCCATGAGGCCAGGACTGGTCGTTCACTTGTTGCTGCACCCCTACCACAGTTCCTGGCCTGCCACAAGTACCCTGTATTTGCTACACACAGGTACCAAATACACAGGTATGTGTGTGAGCCAATGGGCCTCGGTTCCCCAGTGTGCGT